ATCAAGAACGAAGATGAGCCCTGTGTTTACAAGAAAGTGAGTGGGAGCGCAGTGGCATTCCTAGTGTTGTATGTCGATGACATACTTCTGATCGGGAATGATATACCGAACTTGCAGTCGGTAAAGACTTGGTTATCCAAGTGCTTCTCCATGAAAGACTTAGGAGAAGCAGCCTATATCCTCGGAATAAAGATCTTCCGAGATAGATCATGTAGGTTGCTTGGCCTAAGTCAGAGTACATACATTGACAAGGTACTGAAGAGATTCAGTATGGAAGAATCCAAGAAGGGATTTCTTCCGATGTCACATGGTGTCTATCTCTCTAAGGATATGTGTCCTAAAACACACGATGAGAGAGATAGAATGAAGAGGATCCAATATGCTTCAGCAATTGGATCCATCATGTATGCCTTGTTATATACTCGAATTGATGTCTCATGTGCATTAAGCACTTGTAGTAGATATCAATCGGATCTAGGTGAGCATCATTGGATAGCTGTCAAGAACATCCTTAAGTACCTGAAGAGGACTAAGGACATGTTCTTCGTTTATGGAGGGGAAGATGAGCTCACTGTAAGAGGACACAGTTATGCTAGTTTCCAAATAGATAAAGATGATTATCGATCGTAATTAGGGTTTGTATTTTGTCTCAATGGGGGTGAAGTGAGCATGAAGAGCTCCAAGCAAAGCACTATAGTAGACTCTACAATGGAGGCTGAGTATATTGTATTATTCGATGCGACTAAGGAGGCAATCTGGATTAAGAAGTTCGTCACCGAACTTGGTGTGGTTTCCATGATTGTTGATCTGATAGATGTCTATTGTGACAACAATGGAGCAATTGCTCAAGCAAAGGAACCACGGTCTCACTAGAAGCCCAAACACATACTCAGTTGTTTTCATCTCATTAGAGAAATGGTTGAGAGGAAAGATGTACAGATCAGTAAAGTGCATACTGATGACAAACTCGCCGATCCACTGACGAAGCCTCTGTCACAGTAGAAGCATGAAAAACACTTAAGGTCATTTGGTATTAAATACATGAATGATTGGCTATAGTGCAAATGGGAGATTGTTAGAGTAAGTGCCCTAGAGCCAGTCAATTATTGTAAATTTGACTCTGCAATAAATGTTTATTTATCAGTAAAAGGCATATTCTACTATATCACGTAAATCATATTATATATATTGATATATGTCCTTAGGATGGAGAACCGTGATGAGGGTATCAAGTGTTTCAAATCTTGATAGTGAGAACCCTATGATCATACATGGTGGCCATTCTAGAAACGTCTCTAGCCCCAGTATTATTCTGACCAAGGACACAGATAATACGGTAAGGCTATCATAGTGTTGAATGACCCTGTCGAAAGGTAGTGACTGATCTCACTTGTCAAGGTTGTTTGCCGACAACCTGGTGCAACGTATGGATGCTTACTAGAGGCAAGTTCACTGGACAGACCCACCAAAGGATTCCATATGGATGGTAACCCCAATGTCTATGGAATAAATCCTCTAACGGATGGTGGTGCATGTGATCCTTAGACCTAAGATCACTGGAGCACCTTGTGCACCAATTGGTGTAGTTTGACACTAGCCCAACGTAGTTCTATTCATAGCTATCAATACAGTAGTGATTGGCTACATTGAGAAGTGTACTGAGATTATGGTGGATCGACAAAGGATTCATCACTCTTAGGTATGGGAGAAGTTATCTCACTGGGTAATTCAGTAAATGACAATGACACTAAATCTGTGGCCACAGTGGGATTGAGTTGATGCTCAATCCAATTTAATATTCCTGTCATTGGTCTAGTAACTGAATACAAACATGTCGAGGATATCTGAGGTTGACACTATTTATGTACCTTAGTCTTGATGAGATAACAATTGATGAAAAGATTTGATTGTACGGTAACCATACCATTGACAGGCTGCGGTTTCGCTGAATCCAAATCTATCGAGTGGCCATGATGCCTTGCTAAGGGCCAATCTTGGTCTGTGTGTAGTGAGACGCTTAATTGGTGTTAATCACGATACTACTCATTGCCGATATGGTAAGGAGCCTAAGGGTCACACACTTAGAAGATAATTTAAGAATCAATTTGTGAGAAGGGTATTTTCATCTTTTAGGATGAAAGGGTATTTTGGTAATCTCATAGTGAATTAAATTTGCTGAGGTTGTTGCCTGTATTTAATTTTAATATTAAAAATAAATTAGTGAGATTATATTTAAATATATATCTCTATATATATTTAAATGAATTATTATTATTAATTAAATGTTAATATATTATTATATATTAATTGATTTTAATTATAATAATAATTAATTAATTAATTAAAATACCATAAATGGTGTGTTTGGTTGTAAGGGTGAATTAGGGTTGGAGCCCATGGCTATTCCCAAGTGGAGTAGGGTTTTAATTGTTGCATTACATAAGTGCAACTTAAAAATTAAAACATGAAGGAATTATTCATTCAATTAAAACCCTAGCCAACTTATCTCTCTCTCTCTCTCTCAAGAAGAAAACTTTTCTTCTTATTTCTTGATTCTGAAAGCCCTTGATTGTTCTAGCAAAATAATCAAGGGTTCTGCGGATTATCTTCGTGTAGACTTTCGTGAGTGCGATCCTACTTTGGATCGATTAGCAAAGAATCAGGTGAACAGTAGATAGTGGACAGTAATCGTAAACAGTAGGCGATGAACAGTAACCGCGAACAGTAACTGGTGAATAGTAATTGGTGAATAGTAACTGGTGAACAATGTTCGTGTCCAAAATCAGAGATATTCGAAGAAGCTTCCAAACGTACATAAGTATTCTAATCCTTGAATGGATTTACTTTATACAAACAGTAGGCTATGAACAGTAACCGCGAACAGTAACTGGTGAATAGTAACCAGTGACCAATATTCGTGTCCAAAATCAGAGATATTCGAAGGAGCGTCCAAACATACATAAGTATTCTAATCCTTGAATGGATTTACTTTATACAGATTTTGTTTATAAACATGTAAACGGTATAATCTATACTCGGATCTAGGCAAAGAAAGGTAATTGATTTACCAATTGAATTTTTGTTTTCCGCTGCGAATGGTAGATTAATTACTTACACATATTGGTCCACTGCCTTCTATATCTCATCTCGGGTGGCCACTAACAAAATCTCTTGCATAGGTCCTGTTAGGGCATCCTACGCCTGCGAGCTCGTCCTCTCGATTGTTCTGGTCGCTGAGGCATCCATTGCTTCTAAGGTCTGAGAAAGGGGTGACACGTAGAGATAACTCAGTCTTCGTATAGTATTCCGTACGACGACGTGGAAGAATAAAAGAAACCCTAATGTACCTTCCTTAAACCCTAGAAAAACCCTAAAAACTCTTGGGGACCACCCCCAAGGATTTGTGCCCTAAATTCTTACTCTTTATGAAAGAAAAAGCCTTCTCCTCACAACTGCCCATAAATACGCACCACGAAGGTTTACTAAACAGTTCATACCCACCATTATCATCAAGACAAGCTATCAAACAAATAGTAAAAGAATAGCAAAGAAGAAATCCTCTTTACCTCTTAGTTGCGGGGAACAGACTTTCTGTCGTAAACAAAGGGTGCGCACCAATTGGGAAAAGGGGAGACTGATCTTGTGAGAACTTTGTTCTTTCTTTGAAAGTATGAGTTTGTGACAAAGCTTGAGGCGAACCTTGAGTTTTATAGAGGGAGGAAGCATCGATTGATTTCCCCAGGTAAGTGACGCTTAGGTGGAATACATTTCTTGCCATTGATTGCGACCACGTGTCATCAATCTGTGAGAAGAAGTAACCACCATGATTCGAGAATGCCAATCGACGCTTCCCTCCATTGGAACAACCAAGCGATGACTCGATTATCTCCTCCATATTAAATGCGGCCTCATCCGCATTTAATGCTCCGAAAGAGAATGTCGTTTATGCATGGCTTGCATTTAATGCGCATGGCTGGCACTTATTGCGTACTAGACACGTATGTTAGAATAAAGATTATTTTATTAAACAGATTAGCTATCAAGTGCAACGGATAACATCTGAAGAGGTCGTTTGGGTAGAACACTCTTCGCTGCGTATTGATTTCGAGACAATGCGATTCCTTGTCCTTGGTAAAAATATGCTAAGTATTCTCAGGTCGTGGATCACGGATGAGATTTGAAACACATCGATATGGTACTGAGTGGGGCCTGATCCACGTCGTTGAACTTGTGGGAGAAGGCCACCTCAGGTCGTTTGTACTACTCTTAGAGATATGTGCTGCGACCTTCTTGTAGCTCAATTAGCTCGACCAAATGTCATTCGGGACAAGTCAAGTCATGGCATAATCATGAAGTTCTCAAGGTTCAATCCTTAAACCTTAAAAACTGGGGGACTTCTGTTATGCCTAAAAAGTTAGGGCTGACATGGATTCTCGTCAGCAACAGCCAATCAGGATTCAGGAAGCTTTTGTGTCGTCCTTGCGTTGCCACGTCGTGTAGTGACAAAAGAGGTATAGTTCTTGTCAGTGTAGTTGGTGAATGCTAGGCTTGCGAGTGGCCAGGGATTATCCACTGCCTAAGCCCTACGCAATTTGAGGATATTTCTCGTGCAGATAACCAATGTGATGCAAAGAAGGATTTGCACGACACCTACCCACTTGCAGACTCGTAATCATACCTTGAACTCTCTATTATAAATAGAGGACACCCCTCTCATTTATGGGATTGGTTGATCTTAGACTAAAACAGCTTACACACACACACACACACACACACACACACACTCTCTCTCTCTCTCTCTCTCACTCTCTCTCACTCACTCGCTCTTTTTTTTTGTATTCCCTCTAGATTGTAACTCAGCTCGCCACATGCGACTTGATTTTACCTATCTATTAATACAACAACAGTGGATGTAGGATTCGGTTTTGAGCATCCGAACCACTTTAAATATCGCTTCCCATTCATTGTCTCATTTCAATTTTCCCTATCACGTGTGATTTCTAAGTCTGCATAGCACTTTGTACGTGTGAGTCGTTGGTGTCAAAATCAAGCATCAACAAGTTTATTGTTGAGCATATTCTACAAATTTCCCTGTTAGTATTCGTCTTGACACCGTTTTTACTCATCTTCACCATGGATCTTCCTAACTCCACATTGAAACTTGATCCTTGCGAGAAGCGCTGAACAATACTTCTAGTTGAAGCATCAATCCATAAATTTTGATCAGACTCTAGTACACCTCTACCATTCCTCAAATTTCCAAAGAAAGATGTATCAAATCTTGTAGGACTCCCAGTGTCTAATGCAACGCGTCTAGTGGTATCACCATTTTTTGGGCAGAGTGCTTGAAATTGAGGAAGAAATGTAGGATTAATTGAGGGATCAACACCACTTCTAGTAGTAGTGAAATTATAGAGTTTGTTATGGAAGAGTAGGCAAGCTGAAGTACCTATGGTGTGTCCTCCTGTTAATTAGCAAGCAAAAAAAAAGGTGTGTTAATGATGTGCATGGATTGGATTTAAGTTGTCTTTAATTTAAGTATAAAGATTAATTCTTACCAACAAGGGTAACAAGATCTTGAGTATTGAGACCAAAAGTAGAAAACTTTGCCTTTTGCACTTCAATGGAGTCTCTGGCACCTGTCAAATTAGAAGAATTAGAAGCTAATGAGACCCACCCATCTTTGCGACCTGTAGGTACTTGCCAACTTGTCCATTTGTCTGCATTAAATGGTAAGACCACAGTTAGTTTTGGCTCAAACAAAAGAGGGAACCCACAAACACAATGCTATATATATAGAAAGTTAAATAGTTACCAGAACAACAGAATCTTGGGTAGCTAATGCAAGAATGTCAGCACAAGAGACAACACCAGGGCATGCAGCCTCAAGCTGTGTCTTGGCATCATCAATAACTTCATATCCTCTCAATAGATTGTTTTGTGGGGTAGTTTTTTTAGAGTTAGGTCCATCAATAAGAATAGAAGCATCATAACCTTCAAAAAAGAAATCATGGGAATGCATTCTTAACAAACCAGGAGCAATTGTTAGATTAGATCGAACATGAGCTTGAACCATTGACCTCATAATGGACTCAGCTCGAGGGCATGTACTTGAATAATATCCGACTCTCGTGCTTTGGCTTTGGGCTAAGGTAGCAGCCATGGTGAGAAATGTTGAGATTGTGGAGCCAAATTCAATCCAAATTAGAGTTGGATTAGGACATGGGTTTTAATTTGTGTTTAAGTAGAATTGTTTTCTTTTTGGAATACAATTGGTAATAGGATTATAATTGTATTAGGAATTAAAATATAATTCCTATTAGGATATGAGATTTGAGTCCTATTAGGAATTGTGTCCCATGTATTACCTATAAAAAGGAGTTAAGTCCTAAAGTTAGATATCACAAATTAAATAGAAGGCAAGCCACAATCAGAGTGAGAACCACCAAATAGGGTTTAGTGAGTGAGCCAATTTATGAGGCTTGAGAGATTCTTGTAATTTATTTTCTTCTTCTTCATAGTGAAATTCCGCAGCGGCAAAGTGGACGTAGCTCTCATACGGAGAGTGAACCATTATAAACCTTTTATTTGTGTGTGTGATTATTTTGTTTGTCCTTTGTTCACATTTTTTTCGCTTTCAAAGATTTAGGATTTACTAGAATTCAATTAAATCTCCCCAACAATTGGTATCAGAGCGAGATTTGAGGAAAAAAGCGATGGTTGGAGAAGAAGGAGGATCAGCACCTGGGATCAACAAGTTCGATGGAACAGATTACACATTCTGGAAGATGCAAATTGAAGATCATCTGTATGGTAGAAAATTACATCTACCCCTCTTAGGAGAAAAACTTGAAAAGATGTCAGATGAAGATTGGGCACTCCTTGACATACAAGTATTAGGAGTCATTCGATTGACATTGACCAAGAACATGGCAAGTAACATGGTGAAGGAGACAACCACAACAGGGTTGATGAAGATCTTGTCCGATATTTATAAGAAGCCTTCTACGAATAACAAGGTACATCTTATGAAAAAATTATTTAATCTTAAGATGAGAGAAGGTGCTTCTGTGACAGAGCATATGAATGATTTTAATACAATCATTAATCAATTGTCGTCTGTAAAAATTGATTTTGATGAAGAAGTTCGTGCCCTAATTCTTATGGCCTCCCTACCAAATAGTTAGGAGTCTATGAGAGCAGTAATTAGTAATTCAACAGGTAGTGCAAAATTAAAACTCACAGATGTTCGGGTGAGATAACATCGAATGCTTTGAATGTTGAAACAAGAGGTAGAGACTATGATAGAAATTCAAACTGAGGTAGAGGAAGATCAAAATCAAGGAACGGAAGGAGCAAGTCCAGGTTTGGAAAAAAAGTTGAGTGTTGGAATAGTGGCAACAAAGGCCACATACAGAATAATTGCAAAGTACCAAAGAAAGAAGAGAACAGCAATAGTAACACCGCCAATGCTGTAATTAAAGAGGTACGAGATGCTTTACTTTTATCTGTTGATAATTCTATTGACTCTTGGCTTTTTGATGCAGGAGCTTCATTCTATACCACGGCACATTGTGAAATTCTAGAAAATTATGTGGCTGGAAATCATGGAAAGGTATACCTAGTAGATGGAGAACCTTTGGGTATTGTAGGTATGGGTGATGTTAGGTTGAAGATGACAAACAGATCTGTGTGGAAAATCCAGAAAGTAAGGCATGTACCCAAATTGATGCGTAATCTAATATCAGTTGGGCAACTTGACAATGAAGGGCATAATGTGTCCTTTCTTGGTGGTGTATGGAAAGTTACTAAAGGAGCCATATTGGTTGCTCGTGGAAATAAAACTGGAACTCTTTACATGACTTCTAGTTGCAGTCGCAGATGCCAGTGTTACCTCAAGTTTATGGCATTGTAGACTTAGGCATGTGAGCATGAAAGGGATGAAGGAGCTTCAATCAAAAGGAAAACTACTAGAGTTGAAGTTGATTGATCACAGTTTGTGTGAAGGTTGCATCCTTGGCAAACAAAGAAGAGTAAGTTTTTCCAAAGTAGCAAGGGAACCATAGACAAAGAAGTTGGAGTTGGTTCATATAGACGTGTGGGGACTACGGTCACAAAATTAAACCTAAATACCGTAGTTAGCAGTAAGCAGGGTCGAATCCATTGAGAGCAAGACTAACGACCTAATGTATATTTGAGTTAACGAAAGAGAAATTGGCAGAATGATTGATTAAAACTAAGGAAACTAATTACTTGTAGGAAATTAAAAGCATTAAATAAATTGCTAACTAAAACACAATATTAAAAGCGTTGTTGCTACGGGTTTGGTTTGACTCAAGACCAACTCTTACAATTCCTCTCCTCGCTCTTCAATTTCCTAATCCTACAAGGCTAGGCAAATCAATAATATGGCTTCCAGCAAGCTAGGTATAATCTATCCTGTCTCCCTGTCGTCTTAGTTACAGATCGATTGGTTAAAGACTATCATCGACTAACCGAAAAACGCTAAACACTTAAACACCACTAGTTGGTACAACGTTAACAAGTACAACCTATCAACCTGTATCATCCAATTAACTAATTACACAACAAATGCATTCCTAGTAGAAATGATATTAAACGCTACTACAAATTGCAATCAGTACCGAAGCAATTTAAAGTCATAATCAACATTCAATAATCTCAAACCGACATTCAATTATGCGAAAAGTTATATATCAATAAATGTTCTCAATGGACATTATCAATTCAACACGTCGAGCATCAGAATAATATTAAAGCATCGCAAACAAACTGAAACGAAAACAAATATAATATGAATACAAGAAACTTAACCAAATGTCCAACATTTGGGCTCATCCAACTAGTCGAGAGCTGATGAGGAGATCAATGGAGTCAATCTCGATCTCGCCTACATCGTAACAGACAACCGGGAACTCAGCCGCTCATGGTGGTGATGACGGAGGCTGAAACAAACGAAGCTGATCATGGCGAAGAGGAGGTAACCGATAATGATATGATACGAAGAAGGGGCGAAAACAACCAACGGACAGCCTGGAATACGAATAGCCGCACTCGCCGGAAAACGTTAATTTTTCGGTGGGTCTTCCAGAAAACGGTGGCAGAAATGGGATCCGAAGGTATCGATGGAAAGCTCTAGTGATGAGGAGTTCAGATCAGGTCCTGGGGAGGTGAGAAGTCATCGGAAATGAGCAAGATTTCGGTTGGAAGATGAAGAGGCACGGCGGCAAAGTAACGGATTCCAGCGGTTTTCGCGGCGGCTGAAGCTAGGGAAGTGTAGATCCGGTCGTGGGGAAGGGAGATCCAGTCCTGGGGAGCTGAAACGTCATCGAAAAATGGTGAAATCTGGTCGAGAATGCGAAGCGTCGCGGTGGGAAGATGAAGCTCACGGTGGCGTGCATGTTTCATGGTGACCGGAGCAAGGGGATGCCAAAAGGTCGCCGGAAAAGGAGATGAGGGGTCACCGGAGCTTGATCGGAAAAGGTGAAGAGTTTTGGTGGGCGGCAGCCAACCAATCTGAGAACTTGCACTGTAGTTTTATATAAAATTTGGAAAATTTCCATTTGGTCCCTGCATGATTGAAACATGACAAAATCAGCCCCTTGAAACATGACATTTTACCCCCTGAACAACATAAATGAGACAAAATCACCCCTAATCCATGAACCACAACCTAATATCAACTCACACCATTTCCAAATTCATCCCAAATATGCTAAATTAGTAAGAAAAACTCAAAATATGATTTTTATACATAAATTCATAATTTTTCTTAATTGTCTCAATATAACTTCAATTCAATTACATATGGGATCTTTTTATCAACGAAATAGAGTCACTTTCATGACTCTAACACGTCTGGGGACCTGCTCCTGTGTCATCCCTTGGAGGCTCAAAGTACTATGTGACATTCATTGATGATGCGAGCAGAAAGGTATGGGTTTATTTTTGAAAAATAAATTTGATGTTTTTGAGACTTTTAAACAGTGGAGAGCCATGGTTAAAAATGAGACAAACCTAAGGGTGAAGTGCTTGCGATCCGATAATGGGGGAGAGTACATTGATCAAGGGTTCAAGGAATATTGTGCCAATAATGGAATTAAGATGGAGAAGACCATTCCTGCAACTCCTCAACAAAATGGTGTCGCTGAATGGATGAACATAACCCAAAATGAGCGTGCAAGAAGCATGAGATTGCATGCTGGACTACCATATGCATTTTGGGCCAAGGCAATTACTACTGTAGCCTACTTGCTCAATAGAGGACCTTCTGTACCACTAAATTGAAAAATCCTAGAAGAAGTTTGGAGCGGCAAATAGGTAAATTATTCTTTCCTAAGAGTATTTGGTTGTTTAGCGTATGTTCACATTGACTCTACTTTTAGAAGTAAGCTTGATGCTAAATCTAACAAATGTTTTTTCATTGGTTATGGTGACGCCAAGTTTGGTTATCATTTTTGGGATAACCAAAACCATAAGATTATAAGGAGCAAAGATGTCATATTCAATGAAGAAGTGATGTACAAGGATAGGCTCAACATGAAGGTAGAAAATCCAAGCACTGAAGCGAAGAAGCAAGAGGTAGTTCCTTTGAAAGACTTCCCAATGAATGGCATGCAAGACAATGACCAGAAAGAGCAAGCTAAATAGCTCAAGAAGTTGAACCACAAACACTCGTGTTTGAACCTAGAAGATCTTCCAAGACTATAAGACCACTACAAAGGTACACTCCTTCTTTGCACTATATTTACTAACTGATAGTGGTGAACCAGAGTGTTATGAGGAAGCAATGCAAGTTGATGACTCAATCAAGAGGGAGCTAGCTATGAAGGATGAGATGGACTCATTATTAATCAAACCTGGCAATTGACAGAGCTACCACAAGGGAAGAAGGCATTGCAAAACAAGTGGGTTTATTGGGTGAAAGATGAACATGATGGCAGCAAATGATACAAAGCAAGATTGGTCGTGAAAGGCTTTTAGTAGAAAGAATGCATTGAATACACTGAAATTTTCTCTCCAGTTGTCAAGTTGACTACAATAAGAACAATACTTGGGTTAGTGGCAAAAGAAGACCTTTATCTTGAGCAGTTAGATGTAAAGATGACGATTCTTCATGGAAAACTGGATGAAGAAATTTATATGTAGTAGCCATAGGGTTTTAAAGTACAAGGAAAGGACAGAATGATGTGCAAACTTCAAAAGAGCCTATATGGGCTAAAACAGGTGCTTGGACAGTGGTACAAGAATTTTGATGGGTTTACGTGTAGTAACGGTTTCCTTAGATGCCAAGCAGACCATTGTTGTTATTTCAAGAAACTTGGTAACTTCTATATCATCCTATTACTATATGTAGATGACATGTTGATTGCAGGGGCTTGTAAATAGGAAATAGACAAGCTAAAAAGACAATTGTCAAAGGAGTTTGCTATGAAGGATTTGGGAGTTACAAAACAAATCCTTGGTATGAGGATTACTAGAGACAAAGCCAAAGGTTTCTTGAAGCTGTCACAAGAAAAGTAGGTGAAGAAAGTACTCAATAGGTTCAACATTGTTGGAGCAAAGCCAGTAAGTGTTAGGAAACGATCAAGTCATGGCAGCGGAAATAAAAATCATAAATAACATGGATCATTCCTTAGAGCCAAGATCAGGGCACAAATTTAACAATTTATACATTAAATACAAACCTGCAGGAAATCAGTTTTAAAGTTAAGAAACCATACGCACGTTTGGAGGCTCCTCCAACTTATCTCTGAATGGGTTTTGCTACCGATCCAAAGGTAGGATTAAACCACCGTTAGTCCACACGAAGATAACCCCAAGGAACTAAAGAGGGATTTGCTAGATCCTCTATAGCCTTAAGAACCAAGAACAAAATCAAAAATAAAATTTTGATTCAAGCATATGTGAAGTGGCGTGCAAGAGAGAAAAAGGGCTGGGGTTTTTATCAAAATGATTGAAATGAATTACTTTCTTAATTTCACAAAGTGTTGCACTTTGCCCTATTCCATCAAGGAATGGGCTTGGGCACTAACCCAAACAAGCCCTATGTCCAAACAACCCCATTTAGATATTTTAATTATTATTATTATTATTTCAATTAAATTAAATTAATATATATTTATCATATACTAACATTTAACAATAACAATAATTCATTTAAATGTATGCGAACACATATTTAAATATAATTTCACTTATTTAATTTTATTAACAAATTAAATAAAGGCTAAGACCTCAGCAAATTTAATTGCACTGCGAAATTACCAAAATACCCTTTTGCCTAAAAAGACGAAAACACCCTTCTTATAAACTGGCTCTTAAATTATCTTCTATGTGTGTGACCTGTAGGCTCCTCATCATACCGGTAGTGTGTAGTATCACGATTAACACCAATTAATCGTCTCACTACACACAGACCAAGATTGGCCCCTAGCAAGGCATCATGGCCACCCGATAGATTCAGATTCAGCGAAACAGCTACCTGTTAATGATATGGTTGCCATACAATCAAATCCTTTCATCATCTGTTATCTCAATGAGACTGGGACATAGAAATAATGTGAACCTCGGTTACTCTCGATATTATGTGTTCAGTTACTGGACCAATGACCTGAATTATAAACTGGATAGAGCAACAACTCAATCCCACTGTGGCCACAGTTTTAGTGTCATTGCCATTTATTGAATTACGCTGTGAGATAACTTCCCCCGTACCCAAGAGTGATGAATCCTTTGTCGATCCACCATAGTCTTGATACACTCCTTGATGTAGCCAATCACTACCGTATTGACAGCTCTGAATAGAACTGCGTTGGGCTAGTGTCAAACTACACCAATTGGTGCACAAGGCGCTCCGGTGATCTCAAGTCTAAGGATCACATGCACCACCAATCGTTAGAGGATTTTTTCCATAGACACTTGGGTTACCATCCATATGGAATCCTCTTGTGGGTCAGTCCAGTGAACTTGCCTACAGCAAGCACCCATGTGTTGCACCAGGTTGTCACTAAACAACTTTGACAAGTGAGATCAGTCACTGCCTTTCGACAGGGTCGTTCAAAACTATGATAGCCTTACCGTATTATCTGTGCCCTTACTTTAGAATAATTCTAAGGCTACGGACGTTTCTAGAATGGCCACCATATGTGCTCATAGGGTTCTCACTATCAAGATTTGAAACACTTGATACCCTCGTCACGGTTCTACCATTCTAAGGACATATATCAATACATACAATAATGATTTACGCGATATAGAATAAAATGCCTTTTATTGATCAATGAACATTGTTACAAAGAGTCAATTCTACAATAATTGATTGGCTCTAGGGCACCTACTCTAATAGTTAGTACTCTTTTGGCTAGTCACTTTAAACTATCCAAAGATCAGTAACCTATTACAGAGCATGAGCAAGATTACATGGCCAAGGTACCCTATGCATTAATGATTGGCAGTCTTATGTATGCCATGGTATGTACAAAGCTAGACACAGAACATGCAGTGGGAGTTGTGAGTAGGTACATGAGCAATCTAGAAAAGCAACATTGGGAAGCAGTAAAATGGATTCTCAGATATTTGAAAGGTAATAAAGATTCATCATTATGCTTTAGGAAGTCAGACTTAGAGCTACAAGGTTATGTGGATGCTAATATGGCTGGTGACATTGATAACTGCAAGAGTACCACAGGCTATATCTTTACATTAGATGGTACAAAGGTCAGTTGGGTTTCAAAGTTACAAAAGATTGTTGCTCTTTCTACTACAGAGGCAAAGTATGTTGCTATAACAGAAGCTAGTAA